GGGCTACAAACAAAAACAGATCATCTTAAAAGTGGTTTTCTGTGACTCTACTAAGTATCCAATCTGGGACTATCGATACCTACGGTCCATGCTCACCAGTAGCCACAAAAAGAGCTGTAAGTGGATTTAAAATACAAAGGAAGTTAACAGTTACTTCTGATAATTGGGAGGGAAAGATTGAGATTCATCATTCTGTTTGATACCAAAAGCTAACGGAAGTGCCAACAACCACTCCCTCAGCTGCTAGCAGCAAGGTTCAAGGTTGGCGGCTTCTCCAGAAGACTCGCACCTCAGAAGAAAGGCCTGACGATGGACATCCAGGGGGGTCGCCAGGAGTCAGAACCGACAAGATGGGAACTGGGGTTAAGTGGGCCTGAAGTCAGAGCGATCCCTGAATTCACCATGCTCATTTTCAGATGTGGAATCCAGTCCCTTCTGTTGGAGAGAGGAGCATCTAGGGTTTCTCTCCTGAGCACACTTCAAAGACCAAAGTGAACGTGGCCGTTGTTGTCAGTTGCCTATACCGACCCTATGCATGACAGCATGAAATACTGCCCCATCCTCACAAGTACTGGTGTGTTAGTGCCCATCCTTGTCACCGGCAGGCATGTCTGAAACGCCAAAGGGCCTAGGTCCAGAGGAGAGAACTAGAGGCCTAACTCCAGCCATGCCACCACCCCAGACCTCCTGCTTACCAAGGAGAGGAGGAAATACCATCATGTCACATCACATTTGCAACAGGGCGCAAGCACAGGAGCTAGAGGCACACAGTATGAGCCTCCTCACCATGTCTTCTATCTGGCCAGCATCCATTCAGTACCGACGCTCCCACCGAGGGCAAGAGCAAAGTCAAATTTCATCCCAGACTTATGGTCAGAAGAATCCAATGGACTTTCCCCCATCAATGTAAATCTTAACATGGTAGGAAAAGCATTATTTTAACCATAGTCACTATTGTTTATATTGTTTGATATATACATTTTGAGTACATGTAGGTGTGGGAGAAAATGAGGCTTTCTATCCTATGAAAAGTTACAGTCACGGAATGATGATGGCAACAAATGTGCTGGACACAATGGATGGATGGATGGTGAGAAGCATTGCATGAGCCCCCAATAAAATGATTAAAACTAATAAAACTAGGCCTTCAATAAAAAAGACAAAGTGTCCCTTAAAAGAGGAAAAAGGTTACAGTCACAGAAACCCCTGTCCTTTAGGGAACCTGCGTGCCAGGATCAACTTGCTGGCAATGAATTGGGTGTTGGTATATGTAAGTGTACGGACACCAACGTCTTGGTTTGCAGATATGTCATAACTACAATCAAAGGAGTTTCAGGTTTTCTATGAAACAGCCAGAGAACGCCTAGAGAGGCACACCAGGAGGCCTACTGTTGCTGTGGGTAAGCAATGAACTTCTCACCACAAGGCCCATTGCTCGCAGGGAGAAAGAAGAGATTGTCTGCTCCTGTAAAGATTTCCAGTCTCAGAAATCCAAGAGAGCAGTTCAATCGCGTTTTCTTCAAGTCGAAAACTAAACTTGATGGCAGCAGATGTGCTTTCTGGTTTGGGTAGAGAGACAAATACCATTCCAGGAGCTAGTTCACTCCCAGTGAGCAGAGAGGCGATGAGAACATACCAACAACCCAATCCACTTGCCCCTGTGCCGATTCCAACTCACAGAGCAACTCTGCCCCCTGGGCTTCCTAAGACGCGGCTCTTTGCAGAAGCAGGCAGTCTCCTCTTCACTCCCTAGGAGGGGTGGTTGGTTTGCTCACCTTACAGTTAGCAGCCTAATGCTTCTCCTGCAGCGCCACCAGGGCCCCTGGATGATTTACTGAGTTTCCCCCAGCCCACCCCTCTCTTCTTCCAAAAGTAAATTCTACTGTCCATCTCCAAAGGAAGCATCGCCAGATGGCAAAGAGAGATAAACATGTGCAGAAAGGCTTGCCTAGCAAAGTAACAGGCCGGGACCACACTCTCGTTGCTAAGACTCGGTAAGTCTCTTACCTTCACTCAAGCAATTCCAAGATGCATGAGCTTAAATAGAACATTGGGTCAAAATTGTTATTGAAATGCAAAGTCGGCGTGTAATAATTTTCTTAAATTATGAGCCTTAATTGATTTTCTTTAATGGACCATTCACTTGTTCCCTGACCCTAAAGGATTTTTATTCTAGGCCTCCTATACATTGTAAATTCATTATGACCAACTTCATTCCCAGAAGTATTGCATCATTAGAGGTACCAAGATGGAGATTAAGGACAAAAGTGAGAAGTGAGCTGTGCCTTAGGCAAATTAATAATACAATTGAAACCATTATGTAAAAATCATTGTTGGGCTGGAAATATTTGAGTATGTATTAGAAAAGTACTTGGGAAAATGTTGATAGAATTCCACATTGAAATGCAGCAGTCATTCTCAAGTGCAGAGGAGGGAATATTTAGAATATGAAACATGGTACAGTATTAATGAAGTTGTCCCCTTTGGCAGGCATCATGACGGGGGCAAGTTTCCTTCTATTGCTCAGAATGCTCTCTAACTAAGTCCATATTTGCCTGTGGATGAATCCAAGTTCATGCATTTGCCTAGTTTATTCCTTTCCCAGGAAATGAGAAACTCTTTAGGTGTAGAAGTTTATATTACAGACCAATGAAATGCCCTATTATACACATGACAAAATTACTGTGTGCCTGCCTACATGTCACAGAGAGTTTATTAATAAGCTTCCAATCAGACCCACTGCCGCCAGTCAATTCTGATTCACAGCATCCTGTAGAGGATTTGCAAGGCTATATACCTTTACAGGAGCAGTTAGCCTCATCTCCTCCTGCAGTGCAGCTTGAAGTTTTGAACCATCAACTTTGTAGTGAGTATTCCAACCCAGCAGTGCACCAGGGCTCCTTATTAATAACTTGAACTCAAAACTTACTGCCACCCACTCCATTGCAACACACAATGACCTTAGAGGGTAGAACGGCCCTGCGGGTTTCTTAGAGTATGGGAGTAGAAAACCTCATCCTTCTTCTGCAGAGCAGCTGGTGGTTTTGAACTGCTGGAGTTTGGAGTTATGCGTTAGCGCAACGCATAACCCACGACACCACTAAGGCTCCAGTATCAATACGTATAGGGAATCCCAAAACTGACCAGGAATTAGAAAGCAAGAAAGATCGATATTGAGAAGTTGGAGATATAAAACAAACCCAAACTGGGAAAGAACCCATAGAATAAACTCAGATAGCTATCATAAATTCAAGACCTATATATTTTCCACATATTTTTTCCCTAATAAGCTATAGGTAGAGACTCAGAATACGTATCCTAACAAAAAATGGACCCGTGGCATTGGAAAAGTGAATGGAAAAAGAACCAAAGGCTAATCTCTTATAAAGAAAAACGAGATAAACAGCTATTTTTTGTTATTTCTTCTGGTGTTGAAGTAGAAGAGCAAAGGTTGTCGCTGGCTCAGGAACAGGGGTTTCGAAATTGCTGGGTGAGAGTCCTCACTGTATTGGCATCCTCGCTACAGTCCACGGTGTGTGACCTTGGAGAAGTAACCAGAAACTTACTCCTACAAGGGCTCAAATGTGCTTGACATAATGGATGGATGGATGGATGGATGGTGATAAGAGTAGTATTAGGCCCCAATAAAATGAATTTTTTAATGACATTTTAGTTCCTTCAGGCTTCCTCACCCCCACCACCATGACCCCAGGGCTGCCTCTCACTTCAGACTAGACCGGAGCACGTACACAGCCGTAGATAAGAGATAAGAGCTCAGGACACATGCAACCCAGGAGCAGGAATGGGAAGAGAGATACCAGATGGGAAAGGAAGGGGGGGAGGAGGGGAAGAAGGGCAAACTGATCGACACACAACCACACACACCCCTCCAGGGGAAAGAACAACAGAAACCATGGGGGAAGGGAGACAGTGGTCGGGTGTGAGACATGGAAATAATAGTTACCAAGGGTTCCCGAGGGGTGGGGAGGGGCTGATACCAAGGGCTCAATAGAAAGTAACTGTCTAGAAAAGAATGAAGGCAATGTAGGTACAAATATGCCTGATACAATTGATGCATGGATTGTAATAAGCATTTTAAGAGCCCTCAATAAAATGATTTTTCAAAAATCAGTTTTCAGGTGTCTGCTTAAAGCAAGCTGTTTCATCTATCTCACTGATTTGGGGGTTCTCAGCATATAATGATTCAATGATAGCAATCTGTGTGGAAGAGATGGCATAAAATTTAAGTGGAAGAGGTCACAGAGAGGGGATAGTAAACTAGAAAAGAAATGAGAAAGGATGTTCAGGTTTGAAAGGAAATAATAGAGTGAAAATGAATAGCCTCTTGTATTCCCACAATACATCAAGATATTTAAAATTAGGTATAATCCAAATAGCTGTATTTCTAGATCAGTGTTTCTTTGCTGGACGGTCTACTTATCAATGAATGAGTCAAAATTTGGTTAATTTCTTTCAGTTATGCATGTATAAATTCAGTAACAATGTATATTTATTCCTCTAAAATGCTCTTCCAAGGAGCCCCAGTGGCACAGCGTGTTACACCTGGGCTGCTAACCTCAAGGTCAGCAGTTCCAATTCACCAGCTGCTCCACAGGAGAAAGCTGAGGCTTTCTACTCCTGTAAAGAGTTACAGTCTCAGAAACCCAAGGGGGAAAATCAACCCTGGCCTAAAGAGTCCAATGAGTCCGAATCAGCTCGATGGCAGTGAGAATACACTCTCCTGCCTCCGAGGCAGAGGACCTAACTAAAAACCCCAGAGTTTACCATCGCAAATGAAGGGTTTCTTGTTTTTCACAGCTTTCTTTTCCTTGTACTTATCCTATAACCTATGGATGGATGGCCCCAGAAAAATAAAGATCAAATAATGACACGGTTTACATGTTGATAACGAGGGATAGAGCACAAACAAGAGGAAAGAGAAGTCAAAAAGAAAAGAGGAACCTCTTTCTAACGAGGTTTAATCAAGCACTCGCGTCTACCTCGCCTGCTCCTGCTTCATTCGAATCCTCTCCTCTTCTGAAGTAAGGGCTTCCTGCATTTTTATTTTACCCGTTTTCTCAATCTTGTCATCTTTTCGATGTTTGCCAAACCTGTTGATAACAAAAAATTCTATCTTGTCAATGTGCACAAAACGAGCCTTCCTTCTGTGGAGACCAAGGCGCGTGGCACGTACTCACTGACGTGGGGACGTCCCGGAGCCAGGGTCAAAGGTTGCCTGCAGTGGGTTAGCTTTGCCCAAGATTAAAATTTTCGCACAGATAATTTTACCCATTTTTAATTAGGATGTCCCAGAGAAAACCTTTTTAGAAAATAGTCTCAATTTCCATTTTTGTTTTTGGCAGAAAAGCAAACAAAAAACCGAGAAAGTTTACAAGTCAAACCTTATTACACATGATTAATAAATGCCAAATACTTCAGTTATTAAAGGATTAAAAAAATCTGCATTGGAGCAGATTTCTCTTAGAGCTAAAATACGATCATCCCAAATCATCTCTCCATATAGGAGGATTCTTCTTCCTTTTCTGAGCCACGTTTGTTGGAAACATTCCCCACAGTGAACAAAGTAACAAATAAGGTGATATTTGCAAGAGTTCAAGTACAAAACAAAACCGTTGACATTGCCGTAAAACTTTGATCTCATTAAACTGAAAGCTCTAACGCCGTCTCAGCAAACACACTCCAGCAGCTGAGGGAAAGCGGTGGCAAAATACGGCATCTCTGACTTGGAAATCCAGCTAATCAAAAACAAATGCGAGGAACCAATGGGCGCTTCAGAAATGGCCCCTAAACGTATGCAGACGGGCACATGACCTCGCAGCTGTGTTTGAAACTACTAAAATTATTTCATCTTGGCATCCAACATATCCACAAAACCTCAGACTTCTCGCAAATGATGTTTCCTGCTCTACTCGTTTCTCTAAAAAAGGCCCGTTGTCCGGGCTTTGTGTCTTCCACAGCCTTCGTGCCTGCATCACCAGGTGCTTCAGAGAGAAAACTCGCACAAAGCTACACGGTTAAACACTCTAAAATAGGTTCATGGGAAACTAAACTTAACCGAGGCTGAACATTCCCACGAACTTTTTGAAGCCTTTGAATATAAAGTTAAATGAATGCGCTTTTTTTTCTGAGAAGAGACCGGCAATCTGGTTTAATGTGATATTTTGTCACATCTAAAAAGAAAAAGAAAATGATAGGTTCACAGTGGACTAAGGAAAAGTTATTTTAATGGTTAGTTGGCTGGTTGGTAGCATGGCTATTTTTCACAAATATATACCTGATTTCCAATATCAGTCTCCATATGAACTGAAGATCATTAATATATTAACCTACACAACACTGCATTTGCAAAAAGATTTATAACATTATAAGAGCTATAATATTCTTTTTATAGTTATAGATAAGACAGCAATCAAAATGGCTCTTAGATTAACTTCTATAAGGTGAGGAAATTAGGAATTTGAAGACCATGGAAAAAGTAAGAAAGGAAAACATTCAAAAGAACTCAAATCCAAAGTCTGACCAAATCATACAAAAGATTTCAATAATACCATACTTTCCATTTTTTTTAACAATGAAATATCAATGTGGTGGTTTTTGGGTGGGAGTCACTGTAATCATGACTGTGAATTGAGTCCGAAGTTTGACGTGAGAGAATGAATGGGGACACTCACTCACTCTCACTCACTCACTCTCTCACACTCACTCTCACTCACTCTCTCACTCTCATTCACTAAAAAAGAAAAAGAAAAAAAAAAAGAGAATGAATGGGAAGAAAAAAAAGGAAAAACAATTAGAAAAATTCTGCATTCCTTTATCTTGGTGTTTATCCTTTTAGAAGTGGAAGCACAAATAACATTTATTGATGGGGAAGATGTGGGTCTGAGGGAATGAAAGGAGTCACTGAGGACTCTAAGCATGTAGCTGAAGCAAATGAAGACAGGCGTTACCATTAATGAGATAGAGAGGGCCAAATTACAAACATGTTTGGTAGATGGAGGACAGGGGTGGATTACCATAAACATTTGATCCTGGCTCTCAAGTTTGAGCTGCCTTACTAGTCTTCCATGTACAGATGAGTAGCAGTTACATCTATATATATAAGTTTAGAAATCAGGAAAGAAAAAAGGCCTGAGCATATCATTTTGAGGGATACCAGTATGTAGATAATATCTAAAGCTATGGGATTGCATTCCAACCCTAGAATTTACACAATGTTATGCACTTGGAGACATAAAATGTATTAAAAACAACATCAATAGAAGCATAAGCACGAACTTTAACATGTCATACTTATTTATAACCAGGAACCCCTAAAATAATTTAACCATTTAGAGTTTCAGTTCATAAGTATCCCTCAAATTATAAAATGCTCTCTTGTTGATCCAGCTTTTGAACATTTGGTACAAATTGACATTCTAGATAACATGTAATGGGACTTCAAAGTGTTCATGAAATATGAAACTAAAAATTTGAGAACACTTTATTTCTCAACATAATCTCCATTAAGGTCAAGATACTTTTGTAAGCGAAGATACTGGTCATTTTTCTCACTGCCACTGAATCGATTAGGACTCACAGCAACCTTATAAGGACCGGGTAAATCTGCCCCTGTGGATTTCTGAGACTAACCCTTTTCAGGAGTTAAAAAGTCTCACTTTTCCCTCAAAAGACAGCTGATAGACTCAAACTGATGGCTTTGTGGTTAGCACCCCAACGTATAAGCAGCAAGGCTCCTTGGTTCCTCTCCAAAGAATTGAGGTCCCTTAGAATTTAATCATGTCAATGCAGTCTTCTTAAATTCATTAAGTAGAGACAAATAGGTACCCTTTAAAGATGTCTTAAGATTCTCAAGAGCAACAAAAAGTCAGAAGGAGCCAAAGATTTCTCTCTGAAACGTTCACAGAATTGCATTTCTTTGGTGAGATGAATGAGCAGGAACATGGGACTGGGGGAGAAGGACTTTGGCAAAGCTTTCCTGGGCATGTGTATCAAAACATTCTCATCATGAGAGGATGTCCTCAGTCCTTGGTTCTCCAGAAAGTGGAAATTGCCTGGAATATCCCAACACCACCGTGGCCTTGGCCTTTGTTCACTTCGTTCACTAGGCCACTCTTGCTTGGACGGGACCACTTCTACCTCTTGGCAGTCAATGCTTTGGTGGTACGGTGTCTTCAGGATCACACTAGAAGAGCTAAGTTTCATCTCTTGTTAATGTTCGTCCAAGAAATGCATTGAGATCTTTATCCTACTTTTTTTAAATTTCCCTGGAAGGTTCTGCTCTTTTCTGTAGTGGATCTGAGTTTAACAGTGCCGACACCTATCCAGTGGAAAGTCTGCTCAAGTTTTCTGCCAGAATTGGATACACAGAACCAATTGAGATGTCTATGGTGTTGTCTACTGCTTCTACTGTCAATCATGAGTCCTCTTTAATTAGGATACAAAATAGGTTTTTTTTCCCTTGCAAATTGATGTACGCAGTCTGCCACTGTGGGCTTCATTGTCAATCTTACCACTTCTTAAAACAAGCCATCCCCCTCTAAACTGTTGATTTCTTTAAGGCATTGTCCCCATAAGGGTTTTTGCATCAATATTTTCTCCACGCTGCACCACAAACATGGCATTTGTTCTTGCTTCAATGTTAGAACTCAAGCTGCTCTGATCAGGGCACCGTCCAAACTGAAATCTTATCCTTCTAATAATGTCTCAAACTAGGTCCTCGTCAGACAGTCAGTACAAGTTGATTTTGGTGTAAAAATTGTCTGGAATACACCACAGTTTTTTCAAAACACATGTTTCCATGAACTTTTTGAAGACCTTTCATATACTCAATCATTTATTTTATAACAGAGCTATTATGCAATGATATGTGTAATAATTGTTCCTAAAAGGATAGTTTAATCTTACCAGAAGATGATTTAGCTCACCTTTCAGGTGATAATAATATGGGAAATTTTTTTAAGGAGGTGACTTTTCTGTATTTTAAAACAATTTAGATAGTTCCAGCTCTACTATGGTTTTAAGCTATATTAAAATGTTTACATGAGAGGTGAAGGGAAGGTGAGGGAAAAGGGGGAACTGATTAAAAGGATCTACATATAATCTCCTCCCTTGGGGACAGACAGCGGAGAACTGGGTGAAGGGAGACGTCAGATGGTGATAAGATACGACAAAATAATAATTTATAAATTATGAAGGGTTTATGGCAGAGGGGGAGCAGGGAAGAAGGGGAAAAATGAGGAGCTGATAAGTAGAAAGCAAATGTTTTCAGAATGATGAGGGAAACAAATGTATAAAAGTGTTTTGACACAATGGATGGATGTATGGATTGTCATAAGAGTTGTACAACCCCCAATAAAATGATTTTTAAAAATCTATAAAAATGGCTTTGATCCTACTTTATGAAATATTAATTTGCAAAGTTCTCTCTCCATACATGTACATGTATATATAGATATATATACACATATATGTAAACTTTCAACTTTTCCTCATAAATTTACATGACTATTTTAAAAAGGAAAAAAAAAGAGTAAAAGTCCCAACTCATTTCTATAAACTGCATTTTTTTTCTAACTGTATTTTGAATCAAAATATTACCTTCCTAGACTTCACCTAATCATTAGATGGCACTTTCTATTTTATAGATAGAAGACTAAAGCCAAAGTACAGAAAGCATGGGTAAAATGTTTGTAGGGGAGTGCCTGGACTCTTACTACTTGCTTGAATTAATTAATTTTGTGACTTCATGAAAGCAGACTTTAAATCACAGACTGTGAGTCTATAACTGGGGTAGAATGGATCCCTCTTCTGTAATTTTTTGACAAAATGAAATGAAAAAAAAAACCCAGTAATTTTAGAGTGTTTTTAAAAAATTAAGTAGCTAACATTTTGACATTTTAGAATGTTAAAAAAAAATAGAAAGTTAGCTAAACCCTCATCACTCTAATTTGCAATATAGTCCAGTGTTCTTAAGTTAGAGTTGCCCAATTCTTCTTAAAAAGAGGGTGCCCGGAAGACACAAGATCATTGAAAAACGTAAGCAATCTACTCTCAACCCTGTTTGAGAGGGGAAATCTGTAATCAAGCCATG